TTTTAGGTAAACTGTATGCCATTTCACCCACGAGCAATTACGGTACTTATCAGTGAGGGCACACTAGAAAACTGAACACGCATTGTTTAGTCTTTATGCAGTGTTACGGGTATAAAAGTCTATAGCAGGTTAATGGGTTAAAAATATAAAAAAAAATAAATCACCAACAACTGGAAAATTTAGTGTCGAAATATTTCCATGGTGGCTGCTATTTTTTTGGTCGCATACCTGGACTAGTAAAAAACTTGAGATCTGCTCCACATCATGTTAGCACAGCCTTTCTTTTTCTTTTTAAAAAATAAACAATACTTATTTTACAATTAAACTGCAAAAAATGTTTGTGTATAATTTACTTTTATATGCACGCAATTTCCACACTTCTCAAAACGCCCTCCCCCCCCCCCCCCCCCCCCCACCTTTTGAATCCGTGCACTCCCCAGCCCACCTTTTTGCCCCCAGCTCAGAGACCACTGATTTTTAGAACAATGGATATTGGAGTCAAACAATAAACAAGACCCGTCCCAAAAGGCAAGGGGAAACACCGAGCTGTTTTTCTCCATTAAACCCAGTCCCTTTCAAAACATAATTGTGCTGCTGCAGATCGCCCATGCCAGTTTGCAAGGTACTCAAGGATGGGGATGAAATACAAAACTGTTTTTTTGCACAGGAACGGATCAAGAATAGGGCGACCCGTTTGGGAAAAAAAAAAACTTATATCATGAGATGTGAACCAAGATCCTTGCACACGGTTATAAATCATAAGTGCTCTGCCACCAGTACGGACAGCTGATAAGAAACTGTCCGCCTGTATCGCCGTCCGCACGAAATCTATAGCTACAGCGACGATCCTCCATTTACCCCAGAATGTTAACTCTGGTACCCATTTTCTAAAGACGGTGTGAACCCAGAGGTTTCGAACACCGGTCGAAGGCTGCAGCGAGTCACAGCGGATTTGAAAGCCAGTCTCCTACCATTTGTCAAGAAGCAGGACCTGCGATTAACTTATCACCTACCAGCAAAAGTCTAGTGACTATGCGTATTTTTTAACTGTAATTAACTTCATCTTCAGCATTGTCTGTCTCGCTGCCCGAGTGCATCCTCTCTATGGATGTTGTTTGTCCATTTCTTGATTTTACTTTCCTCCTTGTATCAATGTGCATCTCTTGTGCAGGAGTTTTCTTATGTATATGCTTTAATGAGAATTGTTTGTGTCTTCTTGAATTACATTTGTTGGTTTGTTGGATTAACCCTGCTTTCTTCCAACTATGTATTTTATTGTGTTAATTTGTTTGAAATAAGATCTTTTTTTCTGTATACTCACATTTCAGGGAGTCTTTTTGACTATAAATATCAATATATAAATATTGGCTATATATATATATATGTATATATATATATATATATATATATATATATATATATATATATATATATATATATATATACAGTAGAACCTCGCTTAACGAGCACCTCGCATAACGAGCAAAACAAATTGTAAAAAAAATGACTTGCTTAACGAGCTACGTTTCGCATAACGAGTGGCGAGGTGAGGGAAAGTCCCCAATTGTGCGCATGTTACATCAGTTTTTAGCACTTGTTCCAGTAGCATCGTAGTGTCGCTTGTGATCACACATTTTCTCAAACTTGTGTTATATTGTGAAAAATGTACATGAATCTTCCAGGTCTACAAGATTACCTTCCTGAAGAATCCAGTTTCTGCCTCCCAACACCTCTCCGTTACTCCAGCCCATTGACCAGCAAGTTATTTCAAGCTTTAAGAAGCTTTACACTTTAGCACTCTTCGAGCATTGTTTTCAGGTGACTGAAGGGACCAATCTCACTCTCAAAGAGTTTTGGAAAAATCACTTCCACATCATTGCCTGCCTCAAGATGATCGACAAGGAATGAGAAAGGGGTTATCAAGAGAACCCTAACTTCTGCTTAGAAGAAGCTTTGGTCGGAGAGCTTTGTCGATTTGTGACTTTTAGGGGTTCGAGACAGTACCTGTGGAACTTGTAGTCAACAAGATTGTGTCTTTGGCCACTATCATGGGATTGCAGGTGGATAACAGTGATATCGAAGAGCTTGTCGAAGAGCACAGCCAAGTGCTGACCACCAAAGAGCTTATGGAGTTGCTTTGTGTTTAACAGCAAGAAGTTTTGGGGGGAAAGTTTGTCTGAGGAGGAGGAGGTAACAGAAAAGCAACAATCTTCTGGCGAAAGCATGGCAAACTGTTGCAACTTACATTGAGAAGCATCACCCTAATAAGGAAGGGGCTATGCGCGTTGCAAATTTATTTAATGACAATGCTGTGTCGCATTTTCGCCAAATTTTAAATCGTCGGCAAAAACAAATGTCTCTTGACATCTTTCTAGTAAAAAAAAAAAACATTATTATCTATGTATCATAATTATTTCGACTTTTTTTTCTGCAAATCGAATTCACATTCCAGGTTGGTTCGTTCCGCGTTTGAAGAAAAGATGAAGATGATTCACTCTCCTTAACAATATGCATACAATTTTCTTTGAATAAACGTTATACATAGCATTTTGTGAGTATTGTTTTTCGACATGGAACGCATTATCATATTTTACATTAATTTATATGAGAAAAATTGTTTCGCATAACGAGTGTTTCGCTTAACGAGTATGATTCTGGAACGAATTATGCTCGTTAAGCGAGGTTCCACTGTATATATATATATATATATATATATATATATATATATATATATATATAGGTGTGTGTGTGCGTGTTAGGGTGTGTTTGTGTGTGTGTGTGTGTGTGTGTGTGTGTGTGTGTGTGTGTTGACTATACATGTATAGACAACTTGGATTTTAAAAAGCAAGCCTAAAGGGGATCAACGTGCTGAGCGGCTGAATGGCTGTGGGATAGGCAGTCGTAAATGTTGACGTCTAGTTAGCGGGAAGGACATGTATATAAATATATATATATATAAATAGACAAGTTCTAGACAAAGTTTCATAGCATGACTGGCTCTCGGCGGGGAGATGGTCAACATCGCACGAAATCCCTTTACTTCCTTGGTTATTACCAAATACCCATTTTAGGCTGTGATCTGATAGCCTAAGTAAAATCCAAGAAACATCTCGCCTGAGTGCAAATTCGATTACATGACGACACCTATCATTTTTGAGAATGGTTTTAATCAAGATATACAATTTCTTAATGTTGTCTAAAATATATTTAGTCATTGTCATTGCCTGTAAAATGTATATTTCATTTCTGGCAAAATCTGTTATATATTGTCTAGCCTGGTGACACCTGTTACTCGTTTTCCGACACTTAAATGCTAGAATTGTCGAAGATTTCAGATTCTTGGGTACAACTTCTCAGCACTGACAATACTAACCAGAACTGTAAACGGTCTAATGTTGCAGAAGTGTTTTTTTTTTTTTTTTTTGACAGCCACATCAAAAACACTGGTCAACGAGAGGAGCCGGCTCTTCAGACAGAAACAAAGATGGCTGCAAGGATGTCTATGTTATTACTCCTGACAGCCTTGAGTTTTGCTTTTGCCGCGAAGCCAGGTGGCAAGCTTGCGGTGACTTACAAAGGGTTACAATATGGTAGGATTATTTTGATTAAAATAACATCACAAATTTGTTATTATCATCATCAAAATATTTACTGACTCTGTCATCTTTGGGTCGTGGACAAATCGATAGGTGCTCTGATCTTCGCAATCGCTTTAGTATCGTAAAACGACAGATCACACCCGTTTGGTGTTGATTAATCAAAGGTATTATATCCTCAGTGATCTCTTTTTCTTCACGTACTCTTTTACAGCTTCGGGTGTCGAGAGAGATATAAAGTTCTGCTTCTTGTTCCTCTGACCGCCTTGTCAATAGTCAACCGCCTTGTCAATAGTCACTTCAGAGCTTCTCTGATGTTATCTTTTCATCTTGTTCTTGATCTGCCGTGTGCTCTACCGCCGTCTCCTCTTTTGGTGTATGCATTGTAGGGTATGCCGGTTGTTTTGCTGCTTTTGCATATCGTTAAAAACTGGTTATGTACCTACTTTTTCTTTAATGACGTCATTTCTGATTTTAACTCTTGCTGTAATTCCTGCAGCCCTTCTAAAACATCTCATCTCCATGTTGACTAGTATAATACCACAGTGATCCCCTTCATAACTAAGCTTTTTTTTTTCTGATTGTCATTTTAAAAACATTATTACCTTTCCTGTTGTTCTTCTCAGAGTTTTTATTATCGCTATCATGTGCCGTGTCAGTAGGCAAAGGCTGTTATCTGTTACCTTTCTATGTGATTCCGGAACCACGGGTCAGTTCATTGGGGGGGGGGGGGGGAAGGGGGGAGGGGCTCCTCACCACATCCATCTGGCCAAGCTAGCCAGGTGTTTATCTCTTTGCCTCCCTCTTGCTCTCCTCCCATCAATCTTGCTAGTTGTTACTAAGTTCTTGTGCACATTCCATTTTATTACATGTCCACACAAACAAACAAACAGTGACTGTCAACGTCTAATTGTTCTAATCAATTAAGTACTAAATCTACACAACTGGGTGTTGAACTGATACATGACAAGGCACATGTGGTCAATGCGGTTTGGGAACAAGAAATGGAATTAGTAGAGAAAGAAGATGATTATGGCTTGGAGAGAATGAGGCACCTGGGTGTAACCTGAGGGTCTGGTCTGCTGACTACACTTAGAGGAAAGGCAAGACGGACATATAACCAGATTGTAACCGGTACTATCAGTATTGGAACTCTGCGCTGGCTGCTGAAGATGAGGACGGAGCTTGCATGGGAATGCCTTGAGTGATGTGATGTCAATTCTTTACTCAACTAAACTCAACATAAGTCGATGAAGACTGCTTTGTTTGTTTTTCTATCCTTCCATGACATTGTGGTCATTCTTCTCAAAAACCACATTTCGGCCGTTAGAAAAAGTATTTCAGCTTGTCTGCTTATTGTCTATTTATTACATGTATATAAAAACATAGGTTCTACATCGCACATTAAATAACTCTTTTTTTCCTTATTACAGTTAACGTTTTCTTTGTGGTAAAAATCTTTTGCATTTTACTGAAGCCCATAGCCATTCTAATTTCTGCATGGCCTTTTCCATCAGATGTTATGACTGTTCCAAGATATTTGCATCTATAATTTTGTCTTGATAATTTGCCGTTTGCGTGTATTTCCCACTTTGGTATTTCTTTCTTCTTGGTAGTGCCTGTAATTTAAGTTTTCTTGCAGTTTATCACAAAGCATAGTTTCTCACTGTCAACTATTACTGAGTTGAGTTGAGTCTGTAATTGACATTACAGCACTCGGGGCTTCCCATGCATGTTTCGTCCTCATCTTCAGCGGCCAGCGTATGGTTCCAATACTGATGGTACCGGTCATAATCTGGTTATATATCCGTCTTGCTTTGATACTATTACTGCATCCATTAGACACTAGAGATCTGTTTTGCTGTCTGCAATTAACATGGTCTCATCTGAACTTCTTATGTTATTGATGTTACATCCTGCTACGTTTATTCTCTTCGTGTTTCTCAGATGACGCCTACTATTTTCACTTTATAAAGCGAAAAAAAAAAAAAAAAAAAACAGATCCAGATGCATTACATATGATTGCCGCACACCACTCTAGATTGGGTGGTACAGTTTCCTTAGATCGTCTCTATTCTCTCTCCGTCTGCCGTCTGACGAAGAGCTATCCTTGTCAACATGTTTCCAAGCATTCTGCTAACATGTCTATTCCATCTCCCTCACATTTCCTTCAATAACGTTTAGCCTCCTCACTTTAACAAAAGAGAATCCGCAACAAAAGAAAACAGAAAGTATGAAGCTTCGTTTTGGACCGAAACTTTTTCGTAATCTGTAATTAAGTGCGTGTTTTATCACATTAATTCGATTTCTAACAATAGATGTACAAACTGCTCTTAGAAACAAAACCAAAAATGTTCTCGTCGTTTGGTTTAAAAGTTTTTTTTTTTTTTTTCAGTATTGTATTTAAAATTAAACTGAAACCAGATCAAAGTGTAACGGATTATTACACGTACAAATGCATTCACTTTTAAAATGACTTTACACCCACCCTCTTTTTAAAACCAATTGGCCTCCATGTTGAAGAACTCTGGGTTAAATAATCCATTTCCTTATGTTTGTTTCTAGCCAACCAAGTGGCTGGGACTGAACTCAAAAGGAAACTACGCACAGTCAGCATCCCCGGCCAATCCGGAAGTGAAGGTCCGGCCACTTGGAGTGTGCATGCGTAAGTAAAATGAACTAAAGGCAGGTGAAGTGTATTGAAGTGAATTAAATTAAAAGGGACGTGAAGTGATCTGAAGTAAATCAAAGTGAAGTAACGTGAGTAACCTAAAGTAAACTGAAAGGAAAAAAAAAAACAAAGCAAAGTAAACTGAAGTAAGGTAAGATTACAGTAAAATAAAGGATTCTTGTCACGCTAATGTTGTATCGTCATTTGTTTTAGACCCATATTTGTATACATCAATGAGCACTCAGTGAGTGATGTGCTCAATATGATTCCAGTCATCCTTACTTTCTGATTTTTTTTACTGGTATCCAATTAACTAGCGCTGTCTGAGAGTCAAAGCCCGATACGGTGCGGTGGTGTAGCGGCTAGATGCTCGTCTGCGGAATGAAAGGTCTGGGTTCGGGTTCTGACGGAGCCGGCCTTTTAAAAAAAATTACCTTGGCTCCCAGATCGACCCAGCCTTGAGTGAGTACCAGGTGCAGTCGTGGGAAGTGAAGGAAGCCGGAGTGATATTTACCACATCATCTATCAAGTGCCGATCAGTGAATAAAATATAGATCTAGCCCTATATGTCCAATACACCTAAATGCGTGGAAAAGGGTCCTTTACTTAATTTTACACCCCTATACGGATTCGAACCCTAGAAATGTGGGCCCTACCTAGCCATGCGCCACGGCGTTTCTCCTTCACAAAGTCAATGAAATCAGCAGGTAATATCATGAAATAAGACTGCATTTACTTGTAGTAGACTGAAATGGCTGGGGCATATTGAAAGAATGTCATATGACATAGAAGTTAAAACTGTATACACCAAGAAGATGAATGGTCGTAGACCACGAGGCAGACAAAGAAGTCGATGAAGAGATAATATCCAGACATATCCGCAAACACTTGGTGTAACCAACTGGGAAGAGGAGAATAACCTGAGAGATGAATGGAGGCAGGTGATATCTGCAGCAATGAACCTCGAGGGATCGAAATGCTGAAGAAGAAGAAGAAGAACGTGTCTCAGAAACTAAAATATTTTTGCTTATTCAAGCGCTACGGGAAAAGGGAAAATATAACAGAGGGTGTGGTACCAGGAAGCAGTAGCACGACCAGCACCAAGATGGCCATAGAACATAAGTGAAATCCTGTTTTTACTAATTACTGATTTGAGAATCGAAATCATAGCACACCTGGCATACTCATAGGTGCTTCGTCTCCCGCAGCAAATGTCCTAAGGTGTAGATGTTCCCGTCTCACACTGATTTACCCGTTCTCTTTCTCTTATCTCTCTCTCTCTCTCTCGTTCTCTTTCTCTCTCCCGTCTCTCTCTCTTGCCGGATCCACACTTAATTCTCGTTTACATGTTCTTGCACATGTATAGAAAAGGGCATGAGGTGATGGGCTAGCGAGAGACCGAGTTTTTTTCCTGTAGACTGTGATGAGAGCGACGTTCTACAAATGACCGGCTAAATGATGAGTGGCACATGACGCAACTGTGTGCTTTTTTCGCTCTACTTTTCATAGTTCACAACCTCCTTTGTGTTTTCATTGATTTTGTGGTAGCTGAAACTCTTGGGACTTCTTTAAACCATTCCACACAATTGGCATTTTCCGGGTTTCTGCACAGTCTCGGCCTCTACTACAGTACAAAGACGTGTGCAAGTGAGTCTAGGATTCGTTAGAACAAAATGCCATGCACCGTGTTGCATAGTGAGGGAAAACTAGGAATGGAATGACAAAGACGGAAGAAATGACTGCAGAAAGAATGAGAGCTGAGCGTCTGAGAACAAATACACTAAACATAAATGATGACAGCAACGTTTCTGAAATGCCAAACTTTAATTCTGTAAGATTTCATAAGGCGGATGGATCTTGCTAGTCACACTCGCCATCGCCATGGACTGTGAGTCCCATGCCTTCCCATAGCGCAATATGACACTATCGTCTGGGAAGACCGAAAGGTTGCAATAACAGCCAACAATACTGAATTTCAGCATCTCCGTCTGTATAGCGAACACGCCGAGATGGACTGGTTTTTACTCTTTGCGTATTCAGAACTAGGAAATGCACGGAAACCTACACTTTTAAATGTGATTGATAATGCAAATGGTGAATTCCTATTGTCCTGTGTCTAACTGATGTTGTTTGGTATCTACAGCATTCAAATAACTGGTATGTATGGTCCAAACACGAATATTTGGCTGAATCCCGGGGCAGGCGGAGTCACTCTGCGCGTCGACAACTTCGGCTTAAGTGTGCATGCAGACTGGAGCGGTAGTTACCAGTTCATGTAAGTTGGTTTCGTTGGATAGAGAAAAAAAAAACGGAAAAAGTGGGGGTGGGGGGTGGGGGGGGGGGGGGGGGGGGAGGAGCAATCTTATATTTGCTGTTATTCTAGGAATTTCAAATATATTCTAAGCATTTTCTCTCTCTCTCTCTTTTAAATTTAGGTGCTTTTTGTGTGTATCTCAGCCTTTCCAATATTTATATATGTGTGTATATATATATATAAAGTTAGTTGCGTATCCTTTTCAGGACGTTGCAGAACCAACTCTAACAGCCCCTGGCTGTTGTGTGGTTTCTCTAGGCAATTTACATCCAGTAGTTTGCCATTACTTACTGGACGGTCGGCTTTCTTGATACCACTGTCGAAACCATCGCAAGGCGTATTGCCCGCAGCTGGGATCGAACCTGGCATCCCGGCATTACGAAGCGAAGCGTTCGCAACGACTTAGCCACAGAGCCGACATATATATATATATATATATATATATATATTTTAATGTATATTATTCCCATGAAATTCTTTCTGTTTTCGATATACCCACATCTTCAGAGACACATTTCCATGTTCTTGTTGCTTGTTTAACGTCTACATTAATGTAAATGGGTGAAGGCACAAACAGATCATCAGGGTCTGCGGAGAATGGCGATGCGGGGAGTTACCAGGAGATCAAGGCGATGCTTAACACTCACGGGAAGGGTGAGACGGATATACAATCAGACAGTTACTCGTGCCATCGGAATTGCAACTCTTCGCTTGCTGCTGAAGATAGGAAGGAAGCGCATATGGGAGTGTCGCGAGTGCTGTGATGTCAATTCCTCATTCAACATTCAACATAAATGAAACCGTTTGGTGTTTACATTTACAGGGATAGAGCAAAAAGTTAGATAAAAGTAAAGAGAGAAAAGAGGAACAGACGAAAAGAATAATAGTTAAAGAGTGGATGAGAAGATGAAAGGTTCTCCTATGTGGGAAGTGTAGTTATGAGTGTACACCTCAGGTGTGATCAGGTAATAGTCAGTAAAGCTCTAAAAGAGTTATATAGTATCAGTACAGTAAACTACTGTAACATCTACACAAACCAATCCTTGGTACAACATCTACACAAACCAATCCATGATACAACATCTACACAAACCAATCCATGGTACAACATCTACACAAATCAATCCATGGTTCAACATCTACACAAACCAATCCACGGTACTACATCTACACAAACCAATCCATGGTACAACATCTACACTCAATAAACTAACGATGGAATAGAAAAACAATAAATTAACAACTAACAGTCGTGTTCAATCTCCTCAAAGAATTATAACGGTCGAGATAACTAGACACACAAAATGTAAACACATGGGTAATCAAACTGTTTCAGAATACTCCAAATGCGACGAGGATACAACGCAACTGGACACATCTTTCCACCAACGATACTATAAAACTCGGAGACAACGCCTTTTATTCGTTATAACTTGTCGATCGAGTTTTGCGTATGGTAGCTATTGAGAGCTAGCATTCTACAACCTCTTGCAGAACCTGCTGTACTCAATTCCAAACTATCAAATAGCTTCTAGAATCTCCTTCCTTTCTATTAATCAGTAGCTAGAATCCAATACCACAATACTACGAAGCAGTCGACTAATTATTAGCCAATCCTGCCAATTCTGACAACCACTGACATGGTCACAAGACATCCAGGAAGACTTCATGAATTCTCTGACAGGATTTCTCACGTCCAATACAGAACTGTGACCTCAGTTCCATGGTAACGCTGCCTTCGTTGTGTTCTCAGAGTAAGTCGCCCCAGTGCTGCATGGTCCATGTACTTTAGCGTGATGTTGACCACATTCCGCATTCGAGTGCGCGTTACTCTATTAAAAATATAGAAAATATTAAAAGAGGATAGCGGCGCTGGCCAGACGACTTCGTCAAGCATTATCATGAAATAGATTCTGCTACCAGAGCACTCGCGTGGGTAGCAGAACAAGCGGCCACACATGCGGTAACTGTTTCAGACTAAAAAATACTTCAGAAAATTCGCTATAGGTAGTCTCCGTTCCGAATGGTTAGAAAGCATTTGGAAGTCGCAGTTAACCTCTATCATCTGGATATAGACACCTGGGCACGCCGGAGTATATGGTAATAAAATAGCTGACCAGCTGGCAAGTAATGCACCAATGCAAATGGGAAAAAAGCATGGGCAGAGCTTATATTATCAACGCCGTACGGATTAGGTTGGATGATAATGGCGAATCTCTGACGCTAACACGACTTAGTGACCGAGAAGTTAAGCTTGGTGAAGCACGACTCTACAGTCTGAGAGGTAAAGACTGGAGATACTATAACCAACTCCTCATGGGGAAATAAGTAGAGGTACATTGAAGTGGCTGCTGCATCGGAGGACTAAGCACTCATTGGGATGCCCAGTGTGCAAAGACGTCGATTGTGATAACATAACATAACCCTTTACATTGTTTCAAAACTCGTGCCATCACGATTTAACAAATTTCTCGAAAATTCATGTCCGAATTAACATGAATTTTTACATGTGCCCTGATTTCCCATGTCCTTATAATTCACAATTGCACAGATGCTGCTGTTTTCTTGAAGCGGCGAATTTCTGTAATCTTTGTTTCACTAATCATTTATGTACCCATAAAAAGTAGAACATACATAATTGATGCACGCCTGGAAATTGTTTGGAAAGAGTTCAAATGTGCAGCGATTATTAGTGTCTATTTTGGTCACATGAAATGAAAGATCCGCAAGTCATTGTAGACTAATGCTGCAAAGACCATCTGAGAGTGATTCGCTCTTGAAACGCGAGCGATCTGTTTTCAAAACATTCTGTTACTCAGTTCTCTGTAAACATGTTGACAGTTTGCTTTGAATATGTGTTTGCTTGTTCATATACTACAAATAAGGCAAACTGAAAACTAGAGGTTACAACTTACTTCGAACGACTACTGAGTAAACAGATTTTAAGACTTAGTACTGTACTTCTGGAACGGACTCTAGCACTGTATTCCCAGTGCGCCAGTGGAGTACTCCAGTCTTTTACATTTTAATGTGTTTCTATACATCTGTTTTTAATTGGTTATATTTATGCTCAAAAACAGTATCTTTCTTGTAACTATAAAAGTTCGTGTGTATCGACAGTTGGCAGGAGATCGAGTGGGTTTTCAGCGTACCATGAATAGAGCGACGTATCTACTGCTAGATGATAATGATGATGTTGGTGATGATGATGAGGATGATAATAGCAATAGGATTGATGAAATTAATGCTGTATTTTTCACAGATTCAGATTCTCAGCCGGTGGAAGCGTTGACATGTCCGTATCTGGAGTGTCTGTGACCCTAGTTGCTGGACTGGGTAAGTACGCAGGTCAGCTAGACTGACCATTCTTTGTTGGGAAAGAGACGGTATGAAGAATAACGCGATAGAAAGAAAGATGCTTATGAAGAACATAGAAAACATGTAGCGTGTGAAATCTGATAACAGACTTATCAGCCTTGCACTATGCGTGATCGTTTTCTTAGTGTTTCTTGCTCGATGCTATTATTTGGGGTTAGTTTGTGTGTGTGTGTGTGTGTGTGTGTGTGTGTGTGTGTGTGTGTATGTGTGTGTGTGTGTGTGTATGTGTGTGTGTGTGTGTGTGTGTGTGTGTCCGTAGTGGTTGTTGTGTTTGAGGGCATTGCTGCTGGTTTTCTCCTCCTCCTCCTGTTCCACCACTTTTCCCTCTTCGTTTTTCTTCTACACTGTAATATTTTATCTCACTGAAAGTGTTAGAATATTATAGCAATCAAATATGAAACTCTAAATTATATCATTTTGAAACCAAATTATGTTTCTTTCAATTTTAATCTTTCTGAGGAAGGTGGACAGAGTACACTACAGAAAAACAATTTGACATTACCACTCGGTAAACAACCAACAACAGACAGGAAAGTACATCTAACTCCTTTCCATGACACTTCACGGCATAAACTGTTGGACACAAGACAGGAAACTTCATCTAACTCCTCTCTGTACCGCTTTAAGGCATAAGCTAGTGAATAAAAGACAGGAAACTGCATCTAATGCCTCTCTATAACGCTTCACGGTATAAACTAGGGCTGTACCGAATAGTGATTTTCACTATTCGGCCGAATACGAATAGCTGGACCAACTATTCGGCCGAATACGAATACGAGTAGTGTATCATCATCATCAGCTGCTTTGCTGACTGGCATGGGCGATTTTGCCAGGCCACAATCTGCGATCTCCTGCAGCATGTATTAGTTTGTGTGCTTACACACCTCCATGTCATGCAACAAGACTGTCCAGAATCTTCTCTCGTTGTCTTCCTCTAACCCTCCATCGAAATATATTTTCTGTGGTCAATACATGTTCTATTTTCCCTCTTGTCATAACATGGCCGAAAAATGATGACTGTCTCCTTCTGATGTATGTGAGTAGTTGTCTTCGGGCTCCCGACTCTTTCAAACCCTCTTAGTTATTTTTTTTTTTTTTTAATCCAAGGTATTTTAAGCATTGTTCTGTAAAACCACATCTCTAAGGCCTCGAGAAATTGTTTGGCCTGCCTACCGATTGTCCAGGATTCACAGTCATATGTTTAAACTGGATGTATGTAGCAAGCAAGAATTATTTTTCTAACCTTCAATGACTAAGATATATTGCATAAGATGTTCTTCGTTTCATAAAATGCATGTCCTATTCTGTTCCTTATTTCAGTAATGCATCTTCCATCTGATGTTATCTATGTGCCTAGATGCTTAAATTGCTGTGCTTGTTCCAAAATAACACCATTGACTTTTATAACGTATTTAGGAATAATTTTCTTTGATACCACTATTACTTCTGTCTACCCACTATTCAAACTGAGGCCCATTCTTCCACTTTCAAATAGTGAATAAAATATATTTAAAAAAAAAAAAACATCCATAATGTCAAATGTACGCTGAAATTTTACTTCACAAAATGTAGTATAGAATAGAAATCATATAAAAACATTTCATATTTTGCATCCTTCAGTCAGTCAGTCAGTCTGTGTGTGGTAACTAATACCTGGAAATGAACGTATTCTTGGTTTTATAAGAAGTAACTAAACTTGTAAATTGTCACTGATAGCTTACTTAATGCATGAAAGCGGCATTAGCTTTAAAAAAAAAATCGTTCCATGTTGTCAGTATTCTGGCAGCTTCTTGTCTCACTGAAGGTATTTCAAGCGGTACTAAACAGACGTTCACTTGGTACGCTCGTAGGTGGTGCACAAAGATAACGTTTGACATTTTGAACCAGGGTTGGAAATCTTGACGTTTATTTTCCACCAGTCCAGAAACGGGTGTGAGGTAACCACTGTTCGTATTCGGCCCGACCGCAACTATTCTGCCGAATGGTTATTAGGTCCACTATTCGGTCCCGAAGCGAATATTCAGTACAGCCCTAGTATAAACTGTTGAACAAAAGACAGGAAACTACATCTAACTCCTCTCTTTAACGCTTCACGAGATAAACTGTTCAACAAAAGACAGAAAACTACATCTAACTACTCTCTTTAACGCTTCACGAGATAAACTGTTCAACAAAAGACAGGAAACTACATCTAACTCCTCTCTTTAACGCTTCACGAGATAAACTGTTCAACAAAAGACAGAAAACTACATCTAACTACTCTCTTTAACGCTTCACGAGATAAACTGTTCAACAAAAGACAGGAAACTACATCTAACTCCTCTCTGTGACGCTGTGCGGTACAAGCAGCAGGGCCAGAGAAGAAGAGAATTGTAAATTTTACTTTAACCATATGCTAGTAAAAGTTGGAGAACCACAAAAGTCAAAGGTATAGGTAAAATGCTGTGTTTTATCCCGTATTGCTTAGTCTCTCTCCGCAAAACAATTAGCTGTCTGCTGAGAACCTTGCACATAGCACAACCTCCATAGCTCTGGCGATGTTTCCTGTAAAAATTGCACTCGTGAACGGCGCCGCCGTAAAACTAATCCACGACCTTTAGAACTTGAGGCAGACGGCTTAACAGCTTCCCCAGGGAGACCCTAAGTTGAGGCAGACGGCTTGGCAACTTCGCCTGGAAGACCCTAAGTTAAAGGCAATTAAAAGGAAATACTACATGACAATGATTAGCATTTAATGTGATAAATTCAAGACAAATAACGAAAAAACGACAACTGTCTGGAACACAACTTGTGTAATCAGTTGCAAGACACACAAAATTACAACATAATTGGAATATTATAAAAGGAAACGGGTAGAGAATCATCAAACTTGCAATGAAATGAGAAACAAATTAAATAAGGAAACGAGAATAACAGAAAAAAAAGCATAAGATGAACGTTGCAGAGAGAGAGAGAGTGAGAGAGAGAGAGAGAGAGAGAGAGAGAGAGAGAGAGAGAGGGGGAGTGGTGTTTCACAGGACTCTATCCTAAAGAAACATGAGATAGATAACGTCTTAAGCGATGACTAGATTCAAGGTCTTTTTTTTTTTTTTTTTTAGCACTTCTATTCTTGTTAGTTTCCTTCTCTTTTTGGGTGCCACCTTGGAATAACGTCTCGACGCCTACTTGCAGATCCGAAGGCCCTTAGTGTCAGTCGAAAGGGAGCCAGGCTTTCATTTCTCGAAAACTGGCTTTGTCTAGCAGGTAGACCCAGCATTGAGTGTGTACCAGGTAAAGTCCTGGGAAGAAAAGGCTATCGGCGTAATGCTGACCCCATCACCCACCGATTGTTCTATAAAATTTAGCTCTAGCCCGATATGCCCACTACGCCTAAAGGCGTTGGAAAAGTTCCTTTGCTTTACCTACTTTACATTTTAAGATGTAAACAAAAACTAGAACATGGTGTAACAGCTGGGTTGATTTAAATGAAAATAGAAAAAAGATACCTATAAAAATGCTTTGCATAATTTACAACTGTGGCTTGGAAGGATGTCAACACACGAAATGATAGATGTTGTTGGATTAATCTGTTTGGGAATCCGGCTAGGAAATATTGATGATGGTGGTGGTGATAGTGGTGATGATGGTGTTGATGATGATGAGGACGATGGTGATGATGGTGATGATGGTGATGGTGATAGTGGTAGTGATGATGATGGTGGTGGTGATGATGGTGGTGGTGGTGATGATGATGGTGGTGATGATGATGATGGTGGTGATGATGGTGGTGGTGGTGATGATGATGATGTTGGTGATGATGATGATGATGATGATGATGGTGACCATCGTGATGGCGGTGATCATGATGATTAAACTCAGATATACAAACAATAACATGTATAACCCATCTATCTTTAATCAGGGGAAAAGAACGGTCGTCCATCTGTTTATGCGAAATCGTGCAGATGTAACATTGGAGATGTCGACCTTCGTTTCTATGGAGGATTGGGGGCACTTATCTTAAATATAATGAAGGGAACACTACGGGACAGAATCAAAAATACGCTTCAAGATAATGTGAGTTTGAATATTAATTGTTTCAGATGAAATGAATAGACTATTTTTATACTGTCTAAAATACTTCTAGGTGAATTTTAAGATCTCATTAAGCGCATTTGACTATTACACAATAATACATGGGAATTCACTGCCCGCCACTGTTCACCCTCGCGGTCCTTTCTCCGTCGTTGAGTACTGGCCATTCAGATGACCAGAGTAGCAGCTCAACAAGGACAATCCACAAAAGACAATCAAGTGAATTCCCCAAATGTTGCGTCACAAAATCCCCGCTTATACATGGCGAGAATATTAGGCTAATGTGCCAAGATAGGCCTTATCAGTCAATCACTTTCCCCTCTTTCAGGCGTTGCGAGTCTGACTCGTAATTCCAACGTACCACGATCGAAACCCACTGATGGCTGCGTGGATTGCTATCGTGGTATGGGGCGTCGCATGTCGAACCAGCCTAAAATGGGTACCAGGATGGGCTGTCCTGGGGAAGTAGAGACGGCCGGTGTAATGCTGACCACATTAACCACCGAGTGCCGATGGTCTGAAAAAAATAGGGGCTTTCTTCCCATAAACACGATGCGCCTAAAGGCGTGACAAGGGTTCTTTACTTTACTTACTTTTACTTTACTTTCCCCTCTTGGGAAAAAAGAAAGGGGGGGGGGGGGGAATAGACCTACTGCCCCTAACCAACATGTCGTCTTGTATCATTCGAGGTCGGAGTGCGTCTGCCCGTTAGGTGAGCAACTAACAGTTTGTTTACAAATTAGTCAAATCTGTGCACTGGCGTGCATGCAAAACTCTTGGTGTGGAACAAGAGTAAGGTCCAGAAGTAGACGAACAACTACAGCTTTTTCCGACAGAGTTTACAACCCGTGAATGCGAAGAAAAAGAAGAAGAAGAAGAAGAAGAAGAAGAAGAAGAAGAAGAAGAAGAAGAAGAAGAAGAAGAAGAAGAAGAAGAAGAAGAAGAAGAAGAAGAAGAAGAAGAAGAAGAAGAAGAAGAAAAAGAAGAAGAAGAAGAAGAAGAATCAGTCACTTATATACCCATAAATCTCAATCTGCTTAGTAGATTGAAGAACTGGTTATCATTATTTGTAATGGACGAAGAACAACAACGTCAGTTCATAGACAAACACAAATACAAAATGGAATGCAGTGAATATATCTTAACTACAGGTCATATAGTTCAAGAAGTTTAAGCCGCTCCCCCCCCCCCCATTCTTGAGTGTACCCCTTTCTACACACACACAGGCAATAATACTTAGGGGTCTGAACTTCAGGCCTTCTTTCCTGTGTGGAGAATTTGCAGAGGGCTAAATGCCCCCACCCCCACCACCATACCCATGATTTTTGTACTCCCCGATCCAACTAATGTTAACTGATTTGCAGGTCAGTTTCTCAAGCAGGTCATAATGTTAGCTTAACAAACACACCACGGGGACTGTTAATTTCATTGTAAATGTTAAAAAAAAATGGACAAGAAAGGCTATTGGGAATCAAAAATACACGAAAGAAAAGATAAAAAAGATAGGAAAATGAATTTAAAAAAAAAAACAGTTAAAAAAAAAGCGTATGATGAAAATTCATTTCTTTGTAACAGAAAACGTCTAAACAATTAAATGTATGCAAGAAAACACATAAACAAAGAAAAAGGCTGGGAAGTTTCAAAATATAATTCAAAGACCCAAATAGAATTACAAAATCAACATAAGAAGTCCGATGGGAATTGAACACATGTTGAAAATTATAACAACATATAGGAGAACTGTTGAGGGGTCGAAAGTCTTTCCAACTGCTTATGACTAAAATAGATTTTTGCAAAACAATTGATATATGATGCTGATACAATATACATATGTAGTATTGAAGTGGCTTCACAAAATAGGTACTGAATAATTGTCAGATGTCTTTTTATGTATATGATCGAAAGGACCGCCCGTGTGTTACAGGGGCCCTCATAGAAAGGATAGAGTAGTAACAATGCCCCATGCCATGCATGTCGTAAAGGGGCGACTGGGGTAGGAATGGGCTTTGGGTTGGCTACCTGATTTTAAACAGAGAAATAAGAAATACGCATCTAACCAAGATGATGAACGACTTGTCTAATAGAAGAAGGATGACACGGTGGTGAGAAAGACGAAATTAAAGGCAGACCACAAAACAACACTGAGAAAGGAGCTCGAGAGGGAAGTTAACAAGGCTGGGAGGACTGGAGGTGGGCTGAATACAAAGCAAACGACTTGGCGTGAGCTGGTTGAGGGCCTATGCTCCACTGAGGATGGGAGGCAAAAAAGAAGAAGATCAAAGGAACTGGCTACCCTAGACGATTATTTGTGCTTTTCTTCGTCGTTTTCTTTTCTCTAATCCTAGAATTTCTAACAGAGTAAGTACAGAAAGAGATTTCTAGACGGGATCCTTATGTTTGCTTCAAATATAGTACTTTTTATTGTTTTCAAAATTTCCGCGGTCCATTTTCTACGTGGTCGACCTCTGGCTCTGTTGTCGCTGTATGTGTATAACATTGCTCTCTGTGGAGCCCTGTCTGTTGTCAATGCTGTTACATGGCCAAACCATTTGATCTTTTGATATATTTTCCTTTTTTCTACGAGCACTAAATAAATAACTGTCGGTTTGCTGCAACAGTCACAGTGTTTACCAATATCCCAGTGGTATATGATAAGTAATGGTCCATGACTTACATTCCCTCAGTATCATCAGTTCCGAAACTACTCTTACGTAACGCTGCAATCTGATTCGTTTTTATCTTTCGCATTCCAGCCCTTGAGGTTCATGCTGCAGATATCATCCATGGCTGTCGTCAGTATCCTATCCCTACCGACGAGCCCGTATCAACAAACTCCTCTCCTGTCTGAGAATGTCCCTCTCTTTCCACTTAGAGATTCCAAGTATTTGTCCTAATGTCTGAATAACGTTGCATTGACTTTTACAAATTGTTATATGCTAGTTTTTTTTAATTGTATGTTGTGACAACGTTCTAAACTGTCAATGTTCTTAACCAGATCTGTGACATTGTCAATAAGCAAGTCAACACAAAAATAGACGAGGAGCTGGGTAAAATGAAAGGTATGTCTCTGTTGTTATATTTCTTTCAGAGAAACTTAAGAATTTTCAGTCATCTGAAGATCTTTAAGTAATTAAATTACAATTAAAACTGAATATTTTGATGTGACGGTGAAGATTTATTCAGTGTCATCATCACCGGTACCATCAGCACTGGAACTCTGCACTGGCTGCTGAAGATGAGGACGGAGCACGCATGGGAATGCCCTGAGTGCCGTGATATCAATTCTTAACCCAACTCAAGTGTCTTAATCATGATCCTAATAATGTTAATTGACGTTATTACCAAGCCCGTTACCACAGAGGAAACACAATTTATTAGAGGATGTAAAGTTTGGGCTTATGGTGCTTAATCTTTGTTTTGTGGCACACACACACACACACAATAATAATATACTAATCATAGCCACTGGCGAGCAGGTCGCCTATTGGCTTGCCGGTTGACGACTTCGTTGCTGGTCGGGACAGTATTTGGTTCGTCTCCTGAGATCGCATCAATACTGCAGGAATCCTTTCCTAAGTTACATCGTGGCAAGCAATGCTAAACTATTTTTCATCGCATACATAACCTAGTCACAATTATAATCTAAAGCTCTCCCATTTGGGCGATGCTGTTTCAACGTTACGATTTCTTTCTCTCTCACAATGCCATCCAGCCTACCAGTAATGACGATAGTAGGATTATTATTGCGAAATCAAACAAGCTGTTTAAGCCTTGTATAATTGTGCAATCATTGATAATAATATTATTGTAGTAGTAGTAGTATATAGTATAAGAAATCTGTAGAGAAACAGTTAAAAAGGGGGAAGATTTTACATATAACCAGTGAACATTTATTATCTCCTTTTTATTTTTGTGTACGATATTTATCTTTCATTAGCATCTTCTTGTCAAATAACCACATAGAGATAACTTACATGATAGTTTTTTTTTTTAAATCAGTGAATGTGGAGACTGAATGAGTAATCAAATGAGTGCTTGTCTTTCTGAAATGATGTCTGCAACAAGGCGGGGAAGGAAGGTTTCGATCTAACACTTAAGTTCGGCCATAGAAAAATAAAATAGCTTTTTTTTTTTGTTTCTGGCTTTGCTATGATAAAGAAGTGATCAGGGGATGAATAAAGCTACACAGCTATTGTGAAGCGTCTGGTATTATGACAGGCTAGAGATGGTTTGGCGACAAGGCTGTTTCGAGGTGTGAGAAGCTGGCCGACTTCCAAATGGTAGGATGGTGATTAAGGGTACAATCCCCGCTGCGACCATAATCAACAATGTGTCATTATCGTGTTACCAGTTGTTACCATATCTTGTTTTGTCGGTAAGGATTCGAAGCATTACATGAGAAACCCAAGATCAGGGAACCATACCGAGGTTGGCCTAATCTTGGAGAGTGTTAGGGAGATAAAGGAGACTGAAACACATGTAGGAGGTAACTTTCTTTTGATGATTGGATAACTCCTGTTTTGTTGGCTCAGATATGGAATATTTTCTAATTAAATCAATGACGACTGTAGAGATTGATTGCAATGATAATGAGAATGACTGTATTTTTTTTTTGAACTAGTGAATGTGGAAATTGCTAAACGTTTCATCCTGGACTACAGCCTCATTAGAGCGCCCACTGTCACAAACGATTACATCGAGGTAGCCACTAAGGTAAGAATAATTGTTTGAGTAATATATATTAATAAACTTACCTGTATAAGAAATGTGGCGGGAGAAACAATACAATACATGGTCACTGGTGGAGAACTAATAACTATGATTGACACAGTACCGGTAAATAATATCATAGAACATCAAGGTTTGGTTATCTGGTTGGAATGGAACCAGATTAGTCAGCAGTTAGAAGGTAATACAAGATTTTTACTTTAACAAATTTAGCACCTTAAAATAGATCATTCAGCTGCAATTGTTGTTCAATAAACACATATTATACATACAGTGAATGTAAATGGAATAGAGAAATCATATTACTATTATTAGACTAAAAAACATATAATAATGCTGTTATTTAATAACTGGCAAACAAGCGAGAGACTTGCTTTAAAGGTTTAGTAAATTATGAACATGTTTTTTATTTAAAATAAAAATGCAATATGAAAGTGATATATGCAATAATGGTTCATCCAGAGCAGTTCTCTTAACAATACTATCATCATCACGTAGCAGGTCCTTTGCAGAACGTCGCTCTCATCTCAATCTGCCTGAAAGAAACTCGGTCTCTCGCCAGCTCTCCCGGAACATGTACCCGGCCACTTATATCCTGTGCTCATCTTCGTGTTGGTCGGCCCCTGCCCCTCCTTCCTGGTACTATGCCTTCTGCTATAATTTGTCCAATCCGTCGTGGCGCTTGATATGACAAAAATATTTCATCCAAGACAGGATGCTGTTTATTATCTAATCTTCCGTGATGTTCAGATCTTTGAAAATGTTAGTAGTTCTCTTCTTCTTTGTTCAAGATATTCTGAGAATCTTTCTACATCATTTCGGCTTAAAAGCCCCTATTCTCTTTCTAAAGGATTGGGAAATTCTAATTTTGATCTCCTTGCCTAACCATAGACTTTTTCGTTTGTTTAATATTTGCATTGCCATGGTCATCATCCTTTTAATTTCTGTCAAACAGTCTCCATTGTTATTTATTATAGAGCCTTGATATTCAAAGTTTGTGACATTTTCAATTTCTTGACCCTTTATTGTTATTTTTATGTGACAGCCTGAGGTGTCATTGTTTGAAAAACAAGAAAAGACACCTCCTCCCTAATGAGCATGTCGTAAGAATCGACTCATAGTGGCTTTCTTCACAGTAGGAATATTTTTTTTTGCCTTAGAGGCAAGATACAGCAGTCTTCATACAAATAAGTATAACCTCCTATTTATCAAATCATTGTTAAGTTAATTACAGGTGGTATATTTCTGTGATAGCCTGCACTGCTCAGTTTTAATTGTCTTAATTCAAATAAAAAGGGCACCAGTGCACATGTGTTAAGAGATAAGGCTGTACAAGACTAAGCTTGTGAATAAAAGGATAACTGAACTGTTTTCTTACAGGGAACCGTCTACTGGAAAGACAACAGACAAGAGAGTCCATACACGCCAGCCGAGCTGCCAGCATTGTCTGAGTTCAGCAACATGTTGTATCTGGATGTGACCGAGTACTCGGCCAACACTTTCGCCTATGTGGCACATGTCAATGGCTTCCTCGAGTACAACATAACTGTGGACAATGTAAGTTCTGTCAGTTATATTTACCTGAGTCTGAGCTCCCAGGTCCGTGAGACCCGCAAATGGAGGTGTGTGAAAAAAGGGGGGGGGGGGGGGGGGGTTGCAATGCCCGGATTTGCACACCAAATTCAAGTCCAGGAATAAGACTAGAAGTGGACGAAACATCCAAGACTGTATACTGGAGTCTACAGCCTGTGAGCGTGACTGATTGAGAAGATCCCATATGACTTCTGAAGATGTTGGTGGTTAAGAAGGTGATGATAAGGAAGATGATTATGACTGTAATAATGAGGATGATGATAGCGATTATGAAGAACTCTAGAATATTCAGCTCCTGTTATCTTGTCACAGCCTCCCAGAGACCAGCGGGAATTTCTAAAGTCCAAGTCCACGTGAAAAAATCCAAGCCCTTACTGAGGATTGAACCCGGAACCTCTAGTACTCGAGGCGGACTCATTGCCTCGAGACCACGCAACCCCCTATATATATATATATATATATATATATATATATATATATATATATATATATATATATATTATATATATATATATATATATATATATATACACACACACACACACACACACACACACACGTGCAAATGCTTTCATATACACCTGCACACAAGTATACAAATTACACACAAATATTAAAATATGAAGAAAAAAAAAAAGAAAATAATGATGGAGGTTATGCTGATGGTAATGAAACTGATGATAGCGATAACAAGGAAGTTTTTAAAACTCTAAACGAATGAAATAATCAATATTCTGCACATCAAATCATTAGGAAACAGTTGAGCTTGTGTGTGATTTCGTTACTAGATCAAGATTGTATTATTGTGTGTCAAATCGTTTGTCTCTACAGTTACCAGCTGAGGCATCATATCTGTTGGACCCCACAGGAAAGGTTAGTTGTTAGTTTTTTTATTCAGTTTTGTTTAGTTTTTAAATAATTAATTTTTTTAAAAATAATTCATTCCTTCACTCCTAACATTTTTTTTCACTTTCTTATTTTTTCTAAATGTGATAATTCAGTGTTACTTTCATTCTGATCATTATTTTTTGTTTATGTATTCATTAACTTCTTGATGTTTCATTTAAAAAGAAGAAGAAGAAGAAGAAGAAGAAGAAGAAGAAGAAGAAGAAGAAGAAGAAGAAGAAGAAGAAGAAGAAGAAGAAAGAAGAAGAAGAAGAAGAAGAAGAAGAAGAAGAGAAAAGAAGAAGAAAAAAGAAGAAGAAGAAGAAGAAGAAGAAGAAGAAGAAGAAGAAGAAGAAGAAGAAGAAGAAGAAGAAGAAGAAGAAGAAGAAGAAGAAGAAGAAGAAGAAGAAGAAGAAGAAGAAGAAGAAGAAGAAGAAAGAAGAAGAAGAAGAAGAAGTAGATTTTAAGTATTCATTGATTCATTAAATCATATATTCATTCATCTATTGTTGTTCCTGCTGCAACAAATATTATTATTACTACCACCAACACAGCAACCATCATCATTACCCTCTTCTTGCTCTTCTTCTTCTTCTTCTTCTTCTTTTTCTTCTTCTTCTTCTTCTTTTTCTTCTCTTCTTCTTCTTCTTCTTCTTCTTCTTCTTCTTCTTCTTCTTCTTCTTCTTCTTCTTCTTCTTCTTCTTCTTCTTCTTCTTCTTCTTCTTCTTCTTCTTCTTCTTCTTCTTCTTCTTCTTCTTCTTCTTCTTCTTCTTCTTCTTCTTCTTCTTCTTCTTCTTCTTCTTCTTCTTCTTCTTTTACTTCACTTTTTCTTCTTCTTCTTTCTCGTCTTCTTCTTCTTCTTCTTTTTCTACTTCTTCTTCTTCTTCTTCTTTTTCTTCTCTTTTTCCTTTTCTTCTTCTTCTTCTTCTTCTTCTTCTTCTTCTTCTTCTTCTTCTTCTTCTTCTTCTTCTTCTTCTTCTTCTTCTTCTTCTTCTTCTTCTTCTTCTTCTTCTTTTTCTTCTTCTTTTTATCCTCCTTTTCCTCCCCTCACCCTTTTCCGCCTCCTCATTTTCTTCTTCTTAAGTCATCATTCCGAAATAAAATTGAGGTTTTCTGAAATCAAGCAGACAAAGAATTTAAAAAAAGAACAAAATTAAGGACACGTCTTTAAAAAGGAAACAAATGAATGGAGTAATAGAGGACATCCAAGAATAGAATGAAGAAACATTGATGATAGACGCCTGCTGTGTCAGAACAGAAATCAACAACGATATAACAAACATAGCGAAGGATGAAAATAAACAGAGAAATGGACTGCGCACCGAGTACATAGCTCAGTATAAAGATAAAGGAATAAAAATAATATATTCCTTTCCTAATAATAAGAAACAATGTGTAAATTGGAACCTCAAACACATAAATAGGATTGAAAAAACACTCAAACAAAATAAAATCTATTCATCGATTTTGAATTCCGCAGAAGTATAGAAGTTTATAGGCGATCACAATACATATTCCTTTTGTGTCATTCTTCTATTTTATTTTGTCTTTCCATTTTATTTCAGCTAAATGATCATTATCCAAACTCGAAACTGGAACTACGCGTCAGCTCTGCAAGTGCTCCTATCGTGAAATTTGAGAACCAGAGCGTGACCATTGCTGCCGTTGGAAACGTGGAAGTTGTTGTCAACACACAGGACGAAGTTGTGACCCCACTTTCACTGAAAGTGGTAAGTTATGCACACATGCTTGTGTGCAGCACATAATATATTATAAAAACATCCATGGACTGGAGGGGAGGGGGGACCAGACTGCTATATTCGCCACATGTACACTATATCTTAAAGGAGACTGAACTAGTTTGAGTCCTGTTTGATTGTCATCAAGGGGCGACTTTTGGAGTGAAAAAAAACCAAATCAAAAACGAAAAGAAAGACAGAGGGAACTGAAAAATTATCTACGAAAGTGTAATCTTTATTATACATGTATAGCAGCAACCGTGTTGCTCAGACATTGCGTTGCATAGACTTAGGCATTACGAACGCGCTTCGTTTAGCCAAGATCCCAGCTGTGGACGATTTGCCAGCAGAACATCCTGCGTAGGTTTCGATAGTAAGTTTGGATAGTTGTACCGAAAGCTGACCGTTTAGGACGTAATGGCAAACTACTGAAAGTAGAATTTGCCTTAAAAACCCCATAACAGCCGAAACACGGTGTGGTTGGTCCTGCAAGCTCCTGTAACGCTTCTGCAACTAACTTAACAACAACAACAAAAACAAAAACGCTGATACGACTCTGCTCCTTGTGAAGCTGTTTCAGGTCTCCCGTTGTAAGCTCATTTGTGTAATCCTCTACTGACTACAAAACCTATGTTTTTGTCTAGAGACACAGTTTTTTAACTGTAACAGATTACCTCAAAGCCGACAGTGACTACGCAGTATAACATTTATTTTGTCCAAATAGAGTTCTTGTTTCAGTAAGCCACTTGCACCCAAGCGTTGTCTTCTTCGTCTTCTTCTTTCCTCTACTCCTGGAATGCCTCACATCATGAGGACAGGAAGAGATCTCTAGAACGGGCCCTTCTGTTCGCTTCGTCTAAAGTACTTTTCACTGTCTCTGATATTTCTGCTGTCCATTTTCTGCGTGGTCGACCTCTGGATCTGTTACCATTGTATCTGTATAACAATTCTCTCTTTGGTGTACTATCTGGTGCCAGTCTTATTGAGTGGCCAAACAACTTGATCTGTTGTCTACCCATAAAGTTCAATATTTGTTCTGTGCCGACTCTCCTCCTAAAATCATCGTTGCTAAGTCGATCTTTCCTGTTACACCTAGCATAGTACGTAAACAATTCATTTCTGTCGTAACTGTCCTTCTGTTTTCTAAAGACAGTGTCCATGTTTGACACTGATAGACATAGCGTTGGTAAGAATATTGTTGTGAACAGTATTCTTTTTGTGTTCATATGCACATGCTTGCATTTCTAAATTGTGTGCTGTTTGGCTTACAACTTGGAAGCTTTATTGCATTTTTGTGTTGTCAGGGATATTTAAACACAAAAGGATGTTGAAGAGATTTTTTTTCTCTCCAAAATTCTCAAAACAATAATTTTGTTTCGTGTCACATTTTAAAGCTCCTTTGAAACAGAAGTTTGTTGTTGAATTTCTCACAGATAACAATATACCAAATTTCGTCCTTTTTAGGACGAAATTTTTTGTCATTTGAAGCCCCACTCTGGCTTTTGCCAGGGGCCGCAATATAGGCAGGCTATTTATATGGCCAAATGTCTGAACGCGGTTTCTGGAACCTCTCCACGGCGATCCTCATCCACATGGTGGCACTTTGTGTCATCGGGTGTTTATCGCATGTGTGATGTCCTGGTGGGGTAGAAATTCAGTTGAGTTCTACAGTTAACAATGACATGCTAGTCCACATGATGGATTTAAGGAGGTGTGTTAGGAAGCACAACACTTCACACTGATTAAAGTAAATTCCTCTGTCGGGTCGTCCACCAAGATGAAGATGAGCAGTAGGACTATAAACGAAAAATCATGAAAGGATACCGCTCATTCGAGCAGGAATCTACAAAGAGGGGAAAAGTCTATTTCGTATCGGCGATCTCATTCCATGAAGTACGTTGTTTCAGCATTTGCTGATCATGAAATTGCGGCTCTAATCTTCTTTTCTTCTTTCTTCTTTTCGTTCGGTTACGTATACTCTGATCAGACCATCAGGTAAGTTGCCTCTATGAACTCGCTTGTCAGTAGCAGGTCCTTCATCGTTCCTTATAGCTTGCTCTGCACACTTTGCTCTTCAGACCAGGTGTCTTTTCGAAGTTGTAAAGAGAGTGGGCATGTCTGCAGAATGTGCTGAGGTGTTTGTAGTCCTGTTTGACAGGCACACTGTGGGGACCGTACAATCTTTATTCTATGCATGTGGTAGTTGAGCCTGCAACGTCGTAGACGGAAAATTGTTGTATGTTGCTTTCTGTTGAGTCTGCTGATGGGGTCTTATGGATGTCTACTGCTAGTTTGTTCTCTCCATAATTCCTTCTATTTTCCTTTATAAAATGTTCTGATTTCTGGTAATGACAATGAAATAGCGTGTTGTTTCTCCTTTGTTCCATTTTTTTTTTGCAAGTCTGTCTGCTTAGTCATTTCCTGGTATGTAGCAGTGAGCCGGTATCCACTAGAGAACGATTTGATTGTTTTCTGTGAGTCTGTTTAGCTGGCGGGTAATTTCTTTCTCCACGTCTTGTGGA